TGCTGTTTAGCCCACAGTTTGTATGACTCGTATTCACGGCTTAAATTAAAATGACGGACAATCCGTGTCCTATCAAAAAACACATCCCTTTCCGTACAGATAGTAATCGGCGGTAAATCCAAGCCTTGAGAGGTTTCGACACCAAACGTATAGACATACGGATAGTGTAGGAAATCTGCGGTTATCTCAAAGCCCTCGTAACATAATATTACGAAACAAAATGCTTTCAAAACTAATAAATATTTTGTTTTTAAATTAGTATTTATAAAATAATAAATGTTCCTTGCGACTATACTTAAACTGATTATAATATACTTGATTGGTAAATAAGTTTTCGTCGCAAATATATTTAAACTGATTGTAATATATTTGGTTAATAAATATATTTTCATTGCGAATATATTTAGTAAATCCATTGTATATTTCAAATATATTGAGATTGAGATTATAAGAGATATACAATGTTACTTCAATATCACAATATATTTTATTTTTGTTATGATTCAAATTGCATTTACTTGAAACTAACTTGCTATAGAAACTAAATTGAATGCACAACAAATAACAATCTGTGCTAGGTGTATGAGTTATACCTAATATATAAAATATTTATTTATAATATGTTTGAAAGTAATTTAATTCTATCATTCATTAATTATTAATATATTACTTTATGACATAGTAATTATTGTGTCATATTGCACTTTGTAAATACCAGTATTACGATATTAACAACATGCTCCATATAATTACCTATTAATAATTAACTAATATGCTCCATATAAGCCTCGGGAACTCATACTTAAAAAACATTATAGTCAAACTCAATACAAGTTTTAATCAATAGGAATGGGGTTCAAACAAATTTGTGTGCAATTATAGTTTACAAATTATGAGTAATATAAAAGCTGGTTAATCTGCAAAAATCAATACAGACCTATAATTAGTCACTCATTTAGAGGGGGATTGGGGTCAACGGTCACACATACATCCAATCGGTGGCACTGTTTATCGTGACCCTCAGTTGTAAGTCCGGAATATTTCCCTTAGGATTGTGCCTGACAACATATCTGTATACATGAGAAATGTATATCCTAATATAACAAGTTAATTAATATTAATGAATTCAATTAATTTGAAGCGTAAAATATTAGCAAACTTTGTAACAATAAAATATCTTCCTATTTATAGCCAAACATTTGCTGCTAAACAAAAGTTTTTGGACACGTAGTCAGAAAAAAAAACATTTTTAAATTGTATAATTAACCAAAACTGCCTAACTTGTAAGTGTATGCTAGGAGTAATTATTTTAATATATAACTTTATTTATTATTTAGTTTTATCCTAGCCTATTAATATTAAATCTAACAATAATAATATACTTTTTTATAATAATAATAATAATATTGTATTTTCGTATTTCAAAATAAATCTTATCTAAGTAATATAGTACTGTATATTGTTTACTGAAATGCATAGCTTTTTGTTTTATGTGTAAAACGATACTAGCATTTCATCTAAACATTAAATCTATGCATTAAAAAAGCTATAATAAAATAATATTAAATATCTGATTATAAAAATATAATCAGTGGTATATTAAACACATAAAGGTAAAAAAAAATAAATAACACGTGTATTCTAGAGTCTCAAATTGTTTTTAACAATTTGATATAAAATTATTATCTAATAAATACATTAAGCCATAAAAACATTTCATAAATTTTAGTGATTTGTTTTCTAGTACCAATAAAAATGTCATATAAATACAGTATTTGTTACACAAGTTTGATATAACTTACCTTGACCTTTAAACTCAATTTATGACCACTAATATAATGGTACGATTTATGATCTAGTTTATATCAGTGTTATTACAGATTTAATTTCAAAATCAAATCTCACTTTTTTGAGTTTTATTAATAGAAAAACTTATAATATTCCGCTTATTATTAGTAAAAGTTTCGCAGAATTTATAATTAATTTTGTAATAATTTTCTATAAATAGTGCGAAAATGTCTACACTTTTAGAAAAGTTTCGTATTTGCGATACGATCGACACGAATATTAAGTATGAAATCAAATTATTTCACGTTTTCAACGACTCTAACGACAAAAACAATATACTTTTTGTCACAAACAATGACTCAGTCTATGGTTTGGGCGCTAACTGTAAGGGGTGTCTGGGGTTGGGTCACGACATTGAAGTGAAAACACCGCAAATGATACCCGAATTGTGTGACCAAAGGATCCGACAGTTTATCAATGGCTCGGACTTTGTGTTGGCTATGAATGAGGACAACCATGTGTTCAGTTGGGGACACAATCATAGCGGACAGTGCGGCCGAAAAGTGACGCCATTTCGCGTGTATTTAAAACCGGAAGTCATATCTTATTTGAATGACAAGAATATTACACATATTTATTGCGGTAGTGGACACACACTAGCGCTCACCACCGGTGGACAGGTGTACGGGTGGGGCAGTAATAGCTCGGGACAGATAGGGTGCGGGGATAATAAAAATCACGTAATCTGTGCACCAGTTATGATAGCATTTGAAAATAAATTTAAAACACAAAATATTTTCTGTTATAATAACAACTCGTTTGCCATTACTATGAATGGTATGGTATTCAGTTGGGGTGATAATAGACACCATCAAACTGGACATCATTGTAAAGATCATATATTGTCACCCAAACTGATCCCACAGTTGATTAAAATTACTTCAATAAGTTCAGCGGTGTCTAAGAAATTGAGTAGGATCAATTTAACGTATTTTCTATCAAATAGTAATATTGTATACCTTTGTGGCCAATATGTTAATGATATCAACGAGTTAACTGTGCAAACCACCCCGGTACAAATAGCTTTTACATTGAATGCACAGTTATTTAGCGACGTTCATTCATTTGCGCAAAGTACCATGGCGATTATATTTAGTGACAATGTAGTTTGTGGTATTGTATCACCAAGTGAATTGAAAAAATATGACTATGATAATTTTACTGATTTCTATGCTATCGAGTGTAACGTAAGTTACAATACATTAACTGTGCCAGATGCTTTAAAACAGAGTGATAATATAATGGTGAAACCACATGCAAAATTAAATAAATCACCAAATATTACTTCAGATAATGGTATTATTCTGAAAGAATTATGAATTAATAAATTTTTAAATATTTCTTATGTTTACTACAATCCAGGGTATAATCGGTTTGAAAGTTATTTCATTAAATTCTTTGAGGAGTTGTCGACAGTAGGTTCGGGAGGTTTCGGAACAGTATTTAAAGTAAAACATAGATTCGATGATCAGATATATGCCGTCAAAAGAGTGCAAATTAAAGGTACAAAAAGTTCATAATTATGTTTTTTAAGTAATAGTTTTTTTTATTGATTCTTTAGAGTCTACTAAAGAATACTTAGAAAAAGTTTATAAAGAAGCGAAAAAGTTAAGTAAATTGAGTCCAGATTTTGTGGTCCAGTATTACAACTCGTGGAACGAAAGCAAACACCTCTACATTCAGATGGAGTTCTGTTCACAGAATTTAAGGAATATTCTTGAAGTGAAACCACAAGTATTTGGCAGAGAATTGGGAGATGGCATGGATTGTGTCGAGTATTTCATTTCGTGTGAAATATTGCGACAAATCTTAGAAAGTGTTCAGTATTTGCATGAATTGAATCCACAGATCATTCACAGAGACCTCAAACCAGAAAACATATTAATCGCTNGTGAAATATTGCGACAAATCTTAGAAAGTGTTCAGTATTTGCATGAATTGAATCCACAGATCATTCACAGAGACCTCAAACCAGAAAACATATTAATCGCTGAGAATGTAAGAAACGGTAGATTTGTTAAGTTATGTGACTTTGGTTTGGCTGTCGAGCACCGGACGCCAGCGGACAGACATACGAAAAATGTGGGAACTTTCAAATATATGGCACCAGAATTGTGTCAAGCTGAATATACAGTCAAATCAGACATTTTTAGTTTAGGAATCATTTCAATGGAATTGTTTGACATATCCTTAGAGTATGTTTTCAATGATAATATAATTTTAAATTATTATAAAATTTATTTTTAAATTTTATTTCAGTGACACTGAACCAGTTAAATGCAATTATGGCTTATTTCAAAGTAACATGGACAATCTATTAAATATTTTTAACGCAATGGTTTCGTATGGACCTGATATGAGACCTGGATGCAATGAGATCTTACATAGTTACAATAAATGGTCACTGAGCAAGGACATAATTGAATCACATATTAATAAATTTATTCAATTAATCGAGCAATTACAATTTGACACCTACTCTATATTTACGGAAATTATATCACCCAGCAAACTGAAAACATTTAATTATAATTACATTGATATTAATGCAAATGAAAACACGAAAAGTAATAGTACCTTGCTAAGAAACTCAAAACCTGTCACAAAATCCTCTAAACCTAAACCTCCGTTAAAACCAAAACCGAAATTAAATTAAATATTAAATCATATTCCAAATGATGGTATGATTTTGTAATTAAATATGAACATGGTATAATTTAATGTTAAATTTTCATTTTTAGGTGAAACTCTCAGTGCATGGTGTCGACCATAAGTATAAAACATCTAGTTAAATGTAAAAGTAATATTAAAAGTAATAGTACGTTAGTTTAGACATTAACTGACAAGCAAGCTAATTAATATAGACATTTTAATATTAAAATTATTTTAGATAACAGTTTGTAACATTTATTATTTTATATTTTATAACATTAAATACTTGCAATCCCAGTACTCATAGCTCCCCCCACCCATTGATTGCATAATATTGTAATATCAATTTGATGGCAACTTTTATTTTACAGACACGTATACAGTATTATATTTCTTATGAAGCAATAATTTTTATAACATATTCAATATAAACAGTAATCTGCTATTAATAATAATAATAATAATATTGAAATTAATATAACGAACGCTAATATTCTGTGTTCTCATAGAGAGTATTCAAAAAGTGTATTATATTCTTGCATTCATTTCAAATAAATCTCATAATTTACTGTTTGTTTTGGTCTAAAGTTGTTAATTAGTAAAAATAGTTAAACATATCGTGCGATGAAAATGAAGAGTTTCTTAATTATAAGTTTCGTATAGTATTATACATTGAGATTCAATGGACGAGTGAATGGTTTTAACAGCGATTTCGAAAAACTAGAGAATCTCTTAACGCAAGAGAAAGCAATGATTGAGTCGTTGAGTGAATATCTGGTGTCCGAAGAGGTCCTCAATTCTCGCATAAGACGACTGACAGACAACTCGTTGAGTATGAACTCAATTGCACTGAAAGAGGACACTTTGTCCTTTGACACTTTGTTACAACGCCTTTCACGGCAATGATAATAATTATTTTGTGAATTACCATGTTGCTTTTCTTGGCTAATTACGTAAAGAACATCACACACATTATTTGTGGTCATAATCCCTGTCCACCGCAACCACTAAACCAGTAAACCTGACATTACCTGAAACGCAATGAAAGTCTCTGTGGTTTTGGCACTAACTCTGGCCGTTGTGTCGGCAAAAAGTATTCAATAATTGGAGATATATTTCAATATATTAAACGCGTTTCACATATAAAACTAATTTTATATAATATTTTGAAAACTTGATTACAGCGCCGGCTATTAAACTGAACACCGGCTACGAGATACCTCAGTTAGGTCTGGGCACGGGGAGGGCTGCCGGTGCTCAATGCACTCAGGCTGCTATGGACGCCCTGGAGATCGGGTTCAGACATATAGATACGGTTTTGCCCGTACTTAGTTTCCAAGTCAATATAATAAACTTGCCCAGTTATTAAGATAATACTTATGACAACTCGTAGTCATATAGAAATAAGTAATCATTTATTGTTTTAAACATTGACCTGTCACCAATCTCAATAAAGTAAAAACTAATTACAAATAAACCCAAAATAAAAGTTTTCAGAAACTTTATCCAAAAGTTTGCGGCGAAAAGCCGTACGAAAAGTCACATTCAATGCAATAGTATTGCCTCAATAGCGCACTCTATCGCACAGTCAGCGCATGTGTTATACAACAGACACGCGAGTCATGTGTTTATGTTTTTTCAAAAGGTTTTTCACAGTCACGTGCTTTGACTGAAGTAGAGGTTTATCACCGCAACTGATCCCAAGACATGTCCGCCAAACCGGTGACCAATTGGCGAGAGAAACATAAACTCATCAAAGAGTGGAAACAGAAGAAGAAGTTGAAGCAAAAGCAGAGGACAGACGCGTTGGCCACCGATGGACAGACATCTCAGACAACGGTTGTCGATAACGGCGTGAAGACTGTGGACAGGGATCAGCACCCGATGGACACCAGTGTTGATGATATGCGGGCGCCGGTGGCCAGTGAGGGGTCGAGTTGTGGCCGTAAATGGACGGCCAGTATAGCCGTTCCCTTCAGTATCGTTGACAACGCGCAGTCACCGGAGCTGAAGGCCTACCTCTGCGGACAGATAGCCAGAGCACTGGTAGTCTTCAATGTGGACGAGATTGTGGTGTTTGACGAGTACTCCAGACAGACGTCGGGTGTTGAGTGAGTAGTCATTAGTCTCTCTCTCCTCTCTCTCGACCACTGATTAACTGCTACTTCTTGTGTCCACTCATTCGCAGCGAGTCTTCAGACGAGTCCTTACTGTACGACAAGAGGAAGTCAGCGATGATTCAGATGATCCGTGTCTTACAATACCTCGAATGCCCGCAATATCTCCGCAAATATCTCTTTTCCATACAAAAGGACTTACAGTTCGCCGGTATGTCTGTCCCCCACTCCTACCTCCCTGTCCACACACATACCTCTCACATGACATTATCACATCTCAGGTCTTCTCAATCCCTTGGATTCGATTCACCACTTGAAGACATCGGATGTCTGCCAATACCGCGAGGGAGTCGTCACTAACCGGCCGGTGCGCGAGGGAAAGGGATCCTACGTTTACATCGGACTCCAGCGCGACGTCCAGATCGACAAATGCCTCAAACCTAACATCCGGCTAACGGTGCGATTGGACGACACGGGAGGTAACAAAAAACTCAAAGGCGTCGCAGTGTCGCCGTCGGAGCCCCGGGAGGTGTCCGGTCTCTACTGGGGGTATACCATACGGGCGGCCAAGTCGTTGTCGGCCGTGTTTACGGAGTCGCCGTTCCCCGGGGGCTATGACCTCACGATAGGCACGTCCGATAGGGGCCAGTGTGTGGACAGTGCGCTGAGACAACTGCCCAAACGGTTCGACCATTTGTTGGTAGTGTTCGGCGGGCTTAAGGGTCTGGAGGCGGCCCACGATTCCGACGAATC